GTATATATCACAAACCTTCGCCCAATTAAATACTCTCTGCACTTGGTCAGCCCAAAAATCACTGCCAAAGCCTCCTGTTCTATGACGGAATATCTCGTTTCCGCATCCCGAAACACTCTGGAGAAAAATAACACTGGCTTCTCTATCCCATCTATTTCATGTAATAACGCCCCTCCCACGCCTTTACTGGACGCATCTACGCGAGAATCACCTCCATCTCGTTGTTGAAACATACCAAAATTGACTCCTCCCCAATTTTATTTTTCAGACCCTCAAACGCGACATCCTGTTCATCGCCCCACTCAAACTTTACCCCCGTTTTTAATAACTTGTACAACGGCGCTGCTATTTCGGCGAAATTCTCAACAAACTGATGATAGTAATTTACCATCCTTACAAAGGACTGTATCTCCGCCTTACATCGAGGCCTTACTATACTTCCAATTCCCACCATATTTTTATCCAACGGCCGTACCTCCACTCCATTTATTCGATGCTCCAAATAGACAACTTCCATTACCCCAAATGCACTTTTCTCTCTACTTGCACGCAACCCCTACTCTCGTATCCTCTGAAACACCTCTTCCAGCCTTCTATTGTGCTGCTCCGGCGTTACTCCTGTTATCAACACATCATCCATGTAATAAAATACCCCCTCCAAACCCTGAAACACGGCCACCATAGTCCGCTGAAATTTGGGCGCTGAAACGCTCAACCCGAACAGCAACCTCCTAAAGGCAAACAGTCCCTTAGGAGTAGTTATCGTTAACAATTTTTGCATCTCCTTCCTTACCAGCAACTGCAAATATGCGTTCGAAAAATCCACTTTCGAAAAATATTTTCCCCCTTTCAAACTAGCCAATATTTCCTCAATCGTGGGTAACGGTTACCTCCACCTCCCATGGATTCACCGTTACCCGAAAATCTGCACATAAACGCAAACTCTCATTGGCCTTTTTAACGGGTACCAAAGGCGTCGCCCACTCACTGTACTCAACCGGGCCCACTATTCCCTCTTTTACCCAACGATCCAACTCTCTCTCTACCTCTTGCCTCCATTCAAAAGCTACTCGCCGAACCGCACAATATTTCGGAACGCATCCATCCTTCATCAGTATTTCCACATCATAATCACTTAAACAACCCAACTCCTCATTAAAAATTTCCTTATACTCCCTGGTCAACCGCTCTACTTCCTTCTTCAGACATTTCAATTCCTTCTCCAACCCCTCCGGTTCTCTTCCCTCATTTACTTGCTCCTGTATCTTCTCGCACGGTAATTCCCCATTCCCTACACCTCGAACAGGTTGTATCACTTCCTCCTCCCTCATCGTCAACTTCCCTCCTTCCATTTTTCCCAACATATGATATTCCCTTACCGCGTCTTTACTATCTTTCACTGTAATTACCTCACCTTCACCCCAATACAGAGAATCGCCCTCATCCATTTCGATGTTATCCCTTCCTTCTCTCCACTCCACCATACCATCCGGCTCTATTTCCTCCCATTCATATATCACTGTTTTCATGATCACTTCTCTACCCTCGCTATCTATGGGGTCAAACACACCCCATCTCGCAAATAATCCCCAAAAATTATATACCGGACCAATTTTCGTGATCCAATCACATCCCAAAGCGGTTTCTACCCTCCGTTCCATTATCCATAAATCTAACACAATTAACTCTCCACTAAATACATCTCCGATCTTTACTCGACCCATTACCATTATTTCCGACCCATCAAACTGTCTCAAACAAATCTCCTCTTGATTTATAACACCTTTCGGCCATAACTTGCGATATTCCTCATATTCCATCACTGATATAGCCGCTCCCGTATCAAACAACATTGATACCACCTTTCCATTTAAATTAAACCATACCCTTGGGCAGGGATCATACACCAAACTCCCTCCTCTCTCTCCTTGCAACCCCCGCATATCCCCTTTGCTTTTCCTTGTCCTCATACTCCCCTCATTCTGTTCCCATCTCCCGGCCGGCATTCTCTTTGCCTTGCCATCATACAGTCACCTCATTTCACAATCCCTCGCCCAATGCCCCTCCTGCCGGCATTTAAACCATACAATTCCGCTTCTTTAACTACCTCCAGAGTCGTTGCTCCTCTGCCGTTTTCAATTTCTGCCATCCTCACATTAATGGCGCTCGATACTTCTCCCCTCTGCAGGAACTCTCCTCTCGTATTGACATTTCCTACATTACAATTCTCCTTCCGATGGCCAAATCTACCACATCCAGCGCATCTCAATCTGTCTTGCTTACTGGGACAAAACGTCGAAATGTGACCACTCTGTCTGCACTCAAAACATTTAATGTCCCGACACTTACTGGCTATATGCCCTTTTATACCACATTTATAACATACAATATCCCTATTTCTCTGCCCTTCCGTCCTAAACGACCTTGTCAAACCTCCACGACCTCTATATATCTCCATTCTTCCATCTCCACTTTCCTTTCCTTCCCTGCTCCATTTCAAATCCTCATTACTTGCCCATCCTTGCAACATTTCTTGCACCGGCAACCAAGTAACTCTTCCATACCTATCCTCTTCCCCGTTGTGCTCTTCTATCAACAACGTTTGCCCTCGTATTTTATTACTCCTATTTCGGCGTTCTCTCCTGCTAAAATACAAACTTTTCAACCAAATCAACAATATTACTATCGCTCCCAGTTTATTATACTGTACTTCTACATATTTAGTTAATTTGAAACCCTTCATTTATAACACACAAAAATATTATTAATAAACTGATTAAAGGAAAAATATCTCTAAATTAATTAATTTATACTAAATATTCTAACAAAATAAAATATGTATACCAAAATATTAACTACAAAAAGTTAATAATTAACTTAACTAAAAAAATCTTAACTACCTGAAGAGTTAAACAATAGGATACAATTAATAAAATTAACACTGAGACAACACAACAGTACATACCACTTTTAAAATCAACTGTAACCCCCTTTACAATTTTTCCTATCACCGTTACTAACCACGGTACTCTACCAAATTTTCCCACATAAAAAAAAATATTCCACAGAACCTCTGTGACTTTAAAAATATCAAATTCAATACCACAGTAAAACCACTGTGCCCTTAACCAACGTTAAGTAATCCCTTTTCCTTTTTTTATTAACCTAAAAAAAATATAAATATAAAAATAAAATTTTTACCTTTTTATTTTTCGGTCACGGCACCAACTATTGCAATTGTGCCGAACCGTTGAATAAAATTCGTTGACTAAAACAGAAAATTTTAAAGTTCCTCACAGTACTTAATTTCCCAAGAGAAAGACTTTTTTTTAAAAAAGACACAAACGGAAAAATAAACTTTTTATTAAATTTGAAAAAAAAAAATTAACATATTTTGCCTAAAAAACGGCCTTTTTATATCTTATAATTAAATAAAAACAAAATAATTCGCTCCCCCAAAATAACAAGACTCATTCTGAGTCTTATCATTCGGAGCCAAATTACTCCGGCAATATTATAAATATAATGACGTTAAAAAATAAAAAGAACGAGAATGATTTTACATATATATAAAATAATATATTTAAAAAAACGATAAAGAACGAAATACGACATCTCAACAATCATATTATATCTCGTGAAATTCATGGATAATATATTTTAATTTTCTATGTCTATTAGTGTTTAATGTTTAAAATATAAGAAACAAAATATAATTAAATTTTAGGGCGGAAAAAACATCAGTGCACAATTAAATTTATTATATATATTAATTTTATATTCTGCTAGAAATCTGCAAAGTCATGCACATCCGATAGCCCGGCCTTAGAGCTGGGCTTGGGTTAGTCAATTTTTTACAAAAAATTTGTACAAAAAAATTTAGGTTCGGGGAGGACTTTTTGTAAAATTCTAACCGTCGGGCAAATTTTTTAAAAAATTTAACGGGTCGAGCAGCTTCTGCAAATATTCAACAGGCCGGGTCATGTTTTGGAGATCTCTACTGTTTATTAATGTAACTTTTTAAATAGTGGAGAAACCATATGGCTCTGGGGGCGGGAGGGGGGGGGGAGTGGGATTAGAGCTCGAAGAGAATGAGGTATATAATTTTATAAAATAATTTTAATATCTATGAAATTTTTTTGTAAAAATGTATAACAATTATTGTATTTAAAGAATTGTTATAGGCTACCCCTATGAAAAAATTCCACTACTATGACATATTTGCCTTTTGCATGTAAAATTAATAATTGTCAAAGACACTTTTCTAATATTTTAAAAAGGAGAAATAGTATAAAAAAGATACTAAGATATTATTAAGACTATTGTAAATTTGATTTTTATTTACACACCCTCACCCCCCTTTTCCCCTAAAATGTATACACTAATAAATCATTATAAACAATAATGTGAGGAAAAAAAAAGTAAAGGTTAATAATTTTTTTTAAAAATGACTTTGAAATTTTTTATAAAAAAAGTGAAAAACCAATTATTTAAATAAATATATAACACAGGCCAAATGCCAGCAATATGTGGACTTAAAGTTTAATAAAATTTATGGGGAAAAGTCTTAATTTGCCTGTCCCTCTTAGCAAAATCCTGGCTACGCCTAGAATTTATTCCATTCTAATATTATTTTTTTCATGAACTTACTTTTGGAGACTTTAATTATAAATATAAAATAAATAGTAAATCATATATAGAATTTTAGTAGATAGATAATTTATACTAGCTATAATTTCTAACTTGTAAACTATCATTGTATATTTAAAGTTGGATCATTAATTTTACCCAGCTTTTTTTTAAATAAGTATTCACATAATGACGCAACAGCGTCAAAAATTATGATAAATCAAAATATTCCCTATGAGGGGTCGAGACTGCCCCTCCTGCTTTAAGGTACTGTTTATTCTAAATTACACAAATAACTAAGTGTTGAGTTGTTATTATCTAGAAACTTATAAATTTAGAGGAATTATATAATATTATTTAAAAATTTGAAGATATTTAGGTGCATACCTACCAACGACACAACAACTCTGAATTCCTTAGCGGAATATCAAAAAATAGCTCCATTATCTCAGACAAATCCGAATTCGGCTCTAAACCAGTTAAGTTCCAGGATCAAGGGCAGATTAGTCCTATTTCCATTAAAATTTTTGATCGAAGAAGGAGAAAATCTTTTGACTTTTCCGGAAAGTACTATCAAATTACCTCTGGGGGAGAGTTCCTTGATATCCAGGATATACACATAATTGTTATTTACACATTATACTTTTGAGCATAAAACTTATTTATTTAGTATATCATCTATCTATGCTATATTTTGTGCTAATCGAAATTTAAACTACTAATTATGATGACAAATAAGAAAAATTAATCAAGCATTGGCTCAAAATAATGGCCACTCAAAATTTTAAATATTTTTTTGGTTTAATTACTTCTTCATAATATGTATCAATATATTAAAATTATTTTGATGATTAAGGATATTCAAATGATGATGAATAAACAGATTAATGCCTTCAGCTAGTTTAATATCAATTTTAATTTTTTTAAAATAATCATATCTTTTAATTTAATTATTTATATTGATATAAATAAAATTAAAGTTGTATAAAAAATTATGGATTTAAATATTATGGAATAATTATATCTAACCAGGCGCGTACGCCGCGGGGGGGGGGGGGGCAAGCCAAAAAATGCAGATGCCGGATTATATTTTTCAAAAATATTATTGTTAATATTAATTTATATTTGTTAATATTTATTCCTATCTCATATATATATTTAATTACATTTATTTATCACATTCATCTACTAAGTTATTTTATCAATTAATTTCGATTTCAGTTTTCCTTGGCGTAATTTACCTATTATTTTCAAATTTTAGTGGCGTATTATTTATCTAAATTTCTAGTCAAATAATAATTATCTCTGAAACTCCTTGTCCAACAGGAAGAAAGAAATTGTGAGCTTGTCCAACGAGATCGAGTCTCCGCCATCAAGCATAAAGCTTTTATGGAGTTAGAAGAGCCGATTATTAATGCTATTACTGAAATATCACAATGGCTTGAAAGAAATATTTCCTCAGAAGCAAGAAAATTATTGGATTCAATACTTATTTCAAATTGTTTTTCTCATTAGAATGTATTATTTAATTATACAACTATTTTTATGTAATACTTTTCAAAAACATGACATTGACCTGATTAAGAAGATGAGAATAGCGGAGAGTATTTTATTACAACTCAAGAAAATTAGAGCTAATGTTGATGAAGAACATATTTTATATGTTATTGTTGAGTCAAAAGCAGAATACGTGTTAAATTTGTCCCCCTCGACTTGCAGCAAGCAAGCTCATCGTCAAAATATTAATATAGGATCAGTAGAAGAGTATTATAAAACAAATGTCCCCTCTCTTAGATACATTTACAACCCAAATAAATGAATGGTTTTTAATTCATCAAGCAGCACTTACAAATTCGCAGATATTACTTCCACAAAAGCCTTTCTAACCTTTTTCAGATGGCGATAGAAAAAAAAATTTTTGTTAGAATTTTATCGTGAAGATGTTAAAGTATCTTATGATGCCTTGTTAGCTGAATAACTATGATTAAAAGATTAACTATGGTTGATACAGTCCCAAAAATGCTATGGATGCTTTGCATTATTTCAAACACATTTTAGATTATATTCCCAATGTATTAAAATGATTATATATAGCAACTCTTCCCATTGGTAAATTTTCTTTTTTAGAAGAATAACAGAGCCCTGCAGAGGTACCATTTTCAGGGCACGGCCCGGATTTTTTTTTAAAAAATTTTTCGGCCCGGTTTTTTTTTTCAAAAAATTTTTAGGCCCCGCCTGGTTTTTTTTCGAAAAATTTTCAGGCCCGGCCTGGTTTTTTTTCGAAAAATTTTCAGGCCCGGCCCGAATTTTTTTAAAATAAATTATATTTATTATTGATTTTTATAGCTAATAATGGCGATTTCAAATATTTAGTTTTAAAATATACAGCTCCCCGGATATTTTTTTTTTAAATTTTAGGCCCAGCCCGGGTGTTTTTTTAAGAAAAACTTTGGGCCCGGCTCGGGTATGTTTAAAAAAATTATAATTCGGTCCGGTCCGGGGGCCGGGCCTGCAAGTCTCTGAAAAACATACCTATGAAATACAACTTCTGAAAGTAGATTGAATGATTTGCTTTTGAATATTCATAGACATTTAACGCCAAGCAAGGATAGATAATTGAAAAATTAGCTCAAAACATACAAAATACAATTATTCCTAAGAAACTTTGTGTATTAATTTATATTTCCAACATTTAAAAAAATTCAAATTTCAATTTTGGGTCATTTAAGTGATTCATATCGTGTTTATATTCACTTTATATTTTATAATTCACATTTATTTTATAGTTTTTCAATGCCGGTTTATATATATAATTTTTTTGTAATTCACATTTAAAATTGTGTATTAGAAAAGTTATTAGTCCTAATAAATTTATGCTTAATATTTTTAAATAACAATAATATTTCTTAAAAAATTTTATTATCCCCCCCCACACCAAATTCCTGCGTACGCGCCTTAACGACTTATTTATTTATGATTGTTATTTGTAATTAATTTCAATGTGCTTAAAAACTCTTATTTTATCGTTGTTTTATATATATATTAATTAAAAAATTTATAAGAACCAATTTTATTTTTAAAAAAATATAAGTTTTAAAATAATTATAAATATTCATTAAAACTTTCAGGTATTTAATCAATTTCATGTAATTATAAAGATCATATGTTTTATGATTATAGTATTAATTTTAAGTCATTCATAACCCTAACAGGGCCGACACTGTCCTTGTGAATAATGCGTAAGGTGCTTTTTTTTAGTAATGACTAATGAGCCACAATTCCAAATTTTATAATAAAAATCATTTTAATGTCAAAAAACCCAAATTTATTTTTTTAAAAATATAAACTGTAAAAAAAAATAATATTAATAAATTCCTAGATCTATACTATGTGAATTTATGTCTTAAAAAATGTATAAAATCTTTAAACCTTAATCAGGCAAAAAGCTTAGAAAATATACGTATAAGGCAACCTCATAACATGATTTTGGCTTAATTCTATTTCAAAATTTGACTTAACTTGGGTTAAATTATCAGATAACTTGCATGACTTTGATGCGAAGTATTTTAATTGTAATGGATGATAACCAGACGGCAACGGATTATATTAAAGGAACACTTGAAGAAATAGGTCCCGTCAATTCTCAAATTTGCCGCTTTAAAACAAGGCATAAGACGATAATTTCCCATCACCTATGCCAAAAAACCTGGCATAAAGAACATCAAGCAATTTTTTGTACGATTATAATATTATATTAGATATAAGTTGTTGGATTTATTTTAGCTTATCAAGAATTCAAGCAGGGCCGTAGCCAGGAATTTTCAGCTATGAGGGCCAGCTGCTTACTTGAGAGGGGCACTAATTTTTTTAAATAAAACAAATTATTAAGCATTCATAGAAATTTTTTGCTATTTTTATTAAAAATTTATTAATGCAATATGAATATAAAATAATACTATAACATGAATATACAAAATAATACTATAATATATACGACGATTTTTATTTTTTAATTTTAACATAAATGAATTAAATGATAAATTTTTTGTTATTTTTTTTCATAAGCCATCAATATTAAATTTTACTTATGTTGATCTTTCATCGACTCTATAGTGCTCGATAGAACTCTCTTTATTATAGAGAAAGAGGCCACACAAGAAGCCGTTTGTACCCTAATGATGATGGCTGTGAATAGCATTACAATTCTTTAAATGCATGTTGATATTTTTTTTATACATATAGGATATTTTCAAAATTATGTGTTTCTTTAACTTCTGCAGCAATAATCCTTTAGCTATTTTCATTTCATGATGTAATATTACATTTATAATAATGATTCTAAGCCATTTTATCTTATATAAAATAATAAGGGTCAAAGGGGGACAATGTATTAAAACATGATAGAAGATTATAGTCATCTTGTGTAAATCTATCTAAAAACGATCAACAAAGTAATCAATAATTTCATAATAATTTCTTTTTAAAGAACTTCAATTGGAGTCTTTTTCACAATCAGTCTTTTTCACAATCAAATTGTAATTTGGTCTCGACTAAAAAATCTTGAAATTTATAGGCATTTTAAGTATCCTTGGGGATTTTTGGGGAGTGAGATTAAATTTTGCTAAAATTTTATTAAATAAAATCAATTCATAAAAATTATCGCTCAATTTTTGGCATCCACTAGATTAGTACATACTGACTGAAGATACTCATTTAGTAGATTTATTGTTATTAATATCTAATAAATTATAATAACTAATCTAACGTAATTTAGATTAATGCATTGAGATAAAAGACCAGAGGCTTCGACTGAATCATGAGTGGAAACCTCTGATAAGAGTTCTATTAGAAAAGTAAAATAATACTTCATCAATAGTCTCAAAATTCTCATAAATGATGCGAGATGCTTCTAATGGCCAGTCCACCTCTGGTCTAAAAGTCTCTTAAGAGTATGGCCTGAATATTTAAAGGATACGTTAAAGGGCCTATTATACAACGCATTGGATAATTAAAGAAATAACAATTATTAGAGTAGTAAAATAATACTTCACCGATCCTCAAAATTCTCATATGATGCGAGATGCTTCTAAATGATTTGTCCACCTCTGGTCTAAAAGTTCTTAAGGATAAGCGCCTATTATACAACGCATTGGATAAATTAAAAAAAAATAACAATATTATTATACCAATTTGAAACCATAAGATGCAACATGTGTTTGTAGCAATGTATAAATGGATCTTTTTTATTAATTTTTTTTTGAAGTAGGGTTAGCCCTCCTTCATTTTGGCCAGACATAACGTTTGCCCCATCATCTGCCTAGCTTATTATATTCTTTGAATTAATATTTAACTCATTAAGTTGCTTAAAAATGCAATTAATAATTCTTTCAGCAGAAAGACACTGTAAATTAATAATTCCTATTAAATTTTCTTAGAAAAAATATAGCGAATAATTATGCTCAGGTTTTCACAACCTTATACATCTTTTGTCTCATCAGGGCATCTCACTTTTGTTATATTTATCTGAAATATATTCAAGCACCATATCTGCCATAATAGATATTACTTCGTTTTGAATCTGGGGCGATTTATATTGGGCATTTTTGGGTATAAATTTCATAAT